GGTTCAAACCACATCTCAATAAAATTATATATTGTGCCCCCCCACGAAAATGTAAGGCCCTCCCAGTGCCCCCCGCTGAAAAAATCCTAGCTACGCCACTGTGTGTAAGGGAAGACTCAGCTATAAGAATTTATTATCGGTAAGAAAATCGTCATCAGCGGAAATATTTATTATGTTGCTTTTCATTGAAATGAATTTCTCACAAGAAAGAGAGGGAGAGAGAGAGAAAAAATGGGAGAGAGAGAGAGCGCGCGAGAGAGAGAGAGAGAGAGAGAGAGCGAAAGAGAAAGAGAGAGAGGGGGAGAAAGTGCGAGCGCATGTCAGGGAAAATGTGTTCATCTAAATGTGTTTATATAATTAGTAATTCGTCTTATCCCAGACACGCTGTCTACATTAACATCAGATGCAACAGACAGCACGTCGTCGCCAACAGATGAAACAACGGAAACAGAGACGCCTGTAACCAATGCTACAGAAGAGACGCCTCTAACCGACGCAACAGGGACAGGGACGCCTCTAACCGACGCAACAGAGACAGGGACGCCTCTAACCGACGCAACAGGGACAGGAACGCCTCTAACCGACGCAACACAGACAGGGACGCCTCCAACCGACGCAACAACCGAACCGCCGGACGACGGCCTTGAGACTGCATACATCATCGTCATGGTCAGCGTCGCTGGCGCCGTCGTCCTCGTCATCGTCCTTGTACCACTGCGCTGTTTCGTCTGCAAGACGGGCTTTGTCGCCGCAGACGCCCACCAGTTAACGACGATCAGCTTGACAGACATCGCTAATGGACCTTCAGCGTCAAACCTAAGCCTAGTCGACCACCAAACCCCATACGGCCGATCGTCCAATGATTTACTCGGGACTTCGAGCGACCTCAATTTGAATTCGAAACAGAAGATACCGGAGGAGAGGAATTCGTCGAGCTTGCCTAATGAGATGCCACGCCACAGCCAATTCGCGTCATACACGCACGCAGACGAGGAATTTTGGTGACAGCTTTTAATTTTAAAATTTCACAATTTTTTAAATGTAAAACTTTATACTTTGTTTTGTACATTGTTTTTAGTTCATCTGACGTAGTCAGATGCAGCTTGTAGAATCGCATGATCGTGCGTGCGTGCGTGCGTCCGTCCGTCCGTCCGTGCGTCAACAATTGGGCACAAATCTTAAGGATATTCTCCACCTTTTGCACGGGTATTGCTATAATGAAGATTAAACGTTTATTGGCGAATGAATCAAATCAATCACTTGTTTTATTTATAGAGGAGATATATCTCTATGCTCAAGCCAAAGAATTTCATGAAATTTCCAGCACTTAATTATGTTACCACACAAATTTTGAATTTTTATGTAAAAATGGTGTTTTGGATATTTCTCAACTACCAGAAAGAGTGAGGATACAAAATTTTTGCCACATGTTAAGCACAATATGGACCAAAATAGTGCGTCAGGATTTTTCTTTAATTTTTATATTTACCGAGAAAACTGGAAAAAAACTGCTTAAAAATCAAGTTGTGTGTTAGAATTGAAAATGTTAGCGAATAAAGAGGCATAACTCATAAAATACGGCACTTAATAACAATCCCTGACGCCGTTTTT